AGGGCGGCCACGGTCTAGGGCTCTGGGGTGTGCGCGAGGCGGCATAGCGAGCTCGGGGCGAGGCGGGACGGACCGTTTTTGGGGTGCCAGGGGCCTTCTGCGCATTGGGCACCAATGACCCATACTACTGTCCGTCCTCCGGACGTCCGCCAAAAAATCGCACCCTAAACGGACAAAAGCGGACGTTTGGATGGGGTCTAGCGCTGGAGTTGGCTGATTGGGGTGATTGAGCCGTCCACCTCACCTCTCCCTTTCGTCGACCAAACCAACCGTGGCAGCATCGATGAGATGATGGACGCTGCGCGGCAGGCAGGGAAGCCAATCAGTCGACCGGTTTGGCTCTGCATTGTACTAGTATTTGCATGCAATCATCAGATGGGATGGGATGGGACTGGGCGTGCGCGTCATCGTCTTCAGACGTCCTCTCTTTGTGGGCTACTGTACTGCCTACTCATCCTAATTCTGACTCGGAACCTGGAATTAACTACGCCTCGCTCTCCACGCTTTTCTTCTAATATACTGTATATAAGCAGAAGAAAAAGAGGACATGCATGAAAAAAATGTAAAAAGGAGGCAAACATGACAAAAAATAAAATAAAAGACAAGTTTGATAAGAAATAAATAGTGATGAAACAGGTACCAATACCTATGACATGTATGGCAAGAAATAGTGATGAAATAGGGGCGCAAGTACCTGAGTCAACAGGAGACCATAAAAAAAATCATTTGCAGACAAAAAAACCTATTTTTATGATTACAAAATCATGTATCTTTTTAACAACATTTTTAACTCTTCATGTATTTAAGAAATAGCTATAAATTCTCAGATTATAAACAATTTTTGCAAAATTAAGAGTGTGTGGTATTTTTTTTCTCCCGTTGCAACGCACGGCCTGTTTTGCTAGTGTGTACATACGTATAGTTCTCAGTTCCGGTTTAGAGAACATTCTAGAACGTTCTCAGCCAGTTTTACCAGTTAAAGGTTCCTATCCAGGTTTCTACTCCTTTTTTTCTTCTTTTCAAGTTTATTTATTAAAAAGAATGTTGATAATAAAAAAAATACTTGTTTTGAAACATTTTCATGATTAAAGAAAACAAAGTGTTCTCCTTTTCCAAAACTATTCACATACTCAAAAAATGTTTGCGTTTTCAAAAATTGGCTCGTGTTTTTAAATATTTGTTTGGGAGTTTCAAGAAATGTTTCAGTTTTATCGCATATTCAAAAAATGTTCATGTTTATAAAAACTGTTTTTTTGTTTTTCGAATTTTGTTAGTAGGTTTAAAATAATAAGACCGCTTAAAAATCACATATTAATAAAATATATCTTATTTTTAAAAATCTGTTTGCGTTAATTTTTTTGAAAAAAATCACATATCAATAAAATGGTCGTTATTTTTGAAATACTGTTTGCTTTTTAGTTTTTGTATTTTAAAAAATAGTGATAATAAAACAAAAAATATTGGCATTTCCAAAATTTCTTGTGCATTTTCAATTTTTTGTTCAGGGGTTCAAAAAAAAATGTCCGTATTTTCATATTTCGTTTGGGAGCTTCAAAAATTGTTTGAGTTTTCAAAAGAATCTTCAAACTTTTAAATGTATTGGCGATTTTAAAAAGTGATAAAAATGTTTCTCGCTGCTTTGTATTCTTTAAATGGCCACCAGATAAACTGGCTAGCTATGCGCACACACCAGCTAAAGGTCCTGTGTTAAATTCCGTTCTGCGCTACAGTGACTATTTGTAGGAAAACGCAGCAAATAGGAGCTCCCCAATAGGCATGTTCTGCTTTTTTTCTTTTCTTTGATTGGGCCATGATACATCTGTAACGTATGTGTAATTTTTGATTGTTTCATGCTATTATATTATCAATCTTGAATGTTTTATGTTCAATTATATGTAGTTATATAAATATTTTAGGACTAACCTATTAACCTAGTGCCCAATGCCAGTTGTTGTTTTTTGTTTGTTTGTTTTCGCTTTTCAGGAAATCAATACCAAATGGAGTCCAAACGCTATGAAACTTTTTGACAATTTTTCTGGCCAAAGAGACTCTAGAAGCTTCGGGAGAAGACCCGAACAATCACGAGGGAGCAACAAGATTAGGAGCCGCGCCCCCAGGCAGAAGCCCTCTCCACATCTGAAAATCAACCAGAAGCAAGGAGAAGGTATTACAAACCTCCTGGTGCCGCCTCTCCGCCTCTCCGTGGAGGCCGGGAGCTATCATGGGGTGGCGCGCCACGACGCAGTCGACCGAGGACGCCTCGGCGGCGAAGGGTATCCCGGGGTGCACGTGCACCACACGTCCCCAGCAGGACGCGACGCCGCTTCCTGCACCACCCACGCCCCTCCTCTCCCTTCGCCTACGCCGCCGCTGCCGGGCCTCACGCCACTCCTCCGCCTTCTTCGCGTCCGGGGCCGGGGGCACGCTGGCAGAGGCGGCGACTGCTACGTCTTGAGCTTGCGTTGGTTTTTCTTGAAGAGAAAAGGGTGATGCAGCAATAGTAGCGTAAGTATTTCCCTTAGTTTTTGAGAACCAAGGTATCTATTCAGTAGGAGGCTCCTCAAAAGTCCCACACACCTACACAAACAAACAAAGAACTCGCAACCAACGCAATAAAGGGGTTGTCAATCCCTTCACGGCCACTTGCGAAAGTGAGATCTGATAGAGATAGTATGATAAGATAAATATATTTTTGGTATTTTATGATATAGATTGGAAAAGTAAAGATGCAATAAAAGTAGATTGAAAACTTATATGATAAAAGATAGACCCCGGGGCCATAGGTTTCACTAGTGGCTTCTCTCAAGATAGCATAAGTATTACGGTGGGTGAACAAATTACTGTCGAGCAATTGATAGAAAAACTAATAATTATGAGATTATCTAGGCATGATCATCTATATAGGCATCACATCCGTGACAAGTAGACCGACTCCTGCCTGCATCTACTACTATTACTCCACACATCGACCGCTATCCAACATGCATCTAGAGTATTAAGTTCATAAGAATAGAGTAACACATTAAGAAAGATGACATGATGTAGAGGGATAAACTCATGCAATATGATATAAATCCCATCCTTTTATCCTCGATGGCAACAGTACAATACGTGCCTTGCTGCCCCTGCTGTCACTAGGAAAGGACACCGCAAGATTGAACCCAAAGCTAAGCACTTCTTCCATGGCAAGAAAGATCAATCTAGTATGCCAAACCAAACTGATAATTCGAAGAGACTTGCAAAGATAACTCAATCATACATAAAAGAATTCAGAGGAGATTCAAATATTTCTCATAGATAAACTTGATCATAAACCCACAATTCATCGAATCTCGACAAACACACCACAAAAAGAGTTACATCGAATATATCTCCACAAGATAGGGGGAGAACATGGTATTGAGATCCAAAAAGAGAGAAGAAGCCATCTAGCTAATAACTATGGACCCGAAGGTCTGTGGTAAACTACTCACAACTCATCGGAAGGGCTATGGTGTTGATGTAGAAGCCCTCCGTGGTCGATTCCCCCTCCGGCGGAGCGCCGGCAAAGGCTCCAAGATGGGATCTCGCGGATACAGAAGGTTACGGTGGTGGAAATTGTTTTTCATTGGCTCCCTGGATGTTTTCGGTGTACGTGGGTATATATATGAGGAAGAAGTACATCGGTGGCCGCCAAAGGGCCCACGAGATAGCGGGGTGCGCCTAGGGGGTGGGCGCGCCCTCCACCCTCGTGGCCTCCTCGATCGCTTCTTGACTTGCACTCCAAGTCCTCTGGATCACGTTTGTTCCAAAAATCACGATCCCGAAGGTTTCATTTCGTTTGGACTCCATTTGATATTCCTTTTCTTCGAAATACTGAAATAGGCAAAAAAACAGCAATACGGGCTAGGCCTCCGGTTAGTAGGTTAGTCCCAAA